TACAACTATTGTTCGAAAAAAGATTTAATTATGAAACCACTGATTTTAAATAGCAACTGAATTTTGCGTAGTTTCCAGTACTATGCTCCAACTCAATGTATATGCATGAAAATGCTGTCATCAAACACGGTAATTCTTTGATTGCGACTGAGACTGGATAATAGCTTGTTTAGATTGTCAAAATGAGGTACCGCCGAGGGACAATTCACATCTAGCAAAGGTTTTTTAGTTATAACAGCAATGCGTGGATGACAACAGAATTAAGAGGGCATAGCGAGAAGATAAATCGTTTTCTGTCACGCTCAATTCGATCATTTAATGTCCATATGAGGTGACAAGGTGACAGAACATGGCAGGTACATGCATTACCACATAGTGGCTGCAAGTCTTCTCCAAATCGGTGAAATGTCAGAAAATAGTAATAAACTAACAATAAGTTGGTTTTGCTAAAAATCGCATGACTTCAAAGTGGATCACTTGTATATTAGGTTCTGAGTTTTGTTTATCTTGAAAATCAATTACTACAAGTCTTTATGAAAATAAACTTTACGGGATCTTACAAAATTAATGCAAATAGGAAAACTTTGACAACTTGGTATGTATACTAGTCTGTCCTTCTAGCATCACTGACGAAGATGTTATAGCACCGACGAAGATGTTATAGCGCAACTGATGAGATTTTTTTAAAATAAAGACATCTGATTCGAGAAACGTAAGCTACTCTAAGATATAATAGGATAGCACAAACTCAGTCGTTGTGCGACTGAGAGTCCGTCGATCAGCACCGTCAACTTGTTCGCACATAACAAAATCCTTCAAAAAATACAAGATACAAAATATTTCTCATCATTCTTGGCATCAGGGGTGATGAGGCGTCAAATTTCTTTCTTAAGTGTTTTCTTGTCTCATCTCTTTTAGTGGGAGCACTTTCCTTTACTTTTCAGACATTTCTGTTCTGAACCTACCACTCCGGCGACCCACCCTGACATCTGACCTAAGCTTGAGTCTGTTTTCCAGTCTTTATCAAATGGAAGAACTAAGCGAAACAATAAGCTAACAGATTTTACAACCTCGAACTATGAAACATTCTCAAACACAAATTGCAAATAATTTGAAGCATAGAAGTACCTTGATCATCCGTGCTCTGTTTAGATGCACAACAACTACTTTGTATGATTTATACAAACGGCGTTTGAAATTTAGCTTCAAGAACCCTTGTTTTTCTCTGTTTAGATGAGCACCGCCAATATAGATGACGGGTTTGAAGCCAAAGTTCAATCTTCTTCAAAACAGCGCACACTTCAAATGAAAAACTTTTAACCATGCATCCCTTTTTCTGTAAACAGCCCATCAATAAAACACACAACATACAGCTAACAATAAGCATTTTCAAATTTCAAGATACCACTCCAAATTGGCATTGTAGAAATCGAGTAAAAAAAGCTCGCTCACCTTGAAGTTTTCAAATGAAACCTAAATCAGGAAAGAGTAGCCGCTTATTCTTGATAACTATGACGAGATCCGAGAGCTGCAATGTACCGCGCCTTGGAACTACTCAGGGGGAATCACACTGGGATCATTATAATATCTTCAACGCGTTGTATTGTTACAGTACCAACACCACGAATACACCTGCGCCATTTCGAATAAAGATTTATACAGTAACTTTTGCAAGCTTGCACAAGGCCCAGCACGAGATGGGCAAATGACAGGCTAGAAATCGTTTTGGGTGAAAAAAAAGCAAAGGGGAAGTCGTTTTTGCGTGGTCCGGGACGAAACCCCAGAAAAAATTGATAGTTCGTGCTCTCTGCTATCTTAACATGTTATGTGCCTTTACAGGCGAACACTGGAGTTCGCGCGCGTCAAACGCGTCCTCGCTATTTGGCGCACGCGCGACGTCGCTCGAACGATGCTATCTGTAACAGCATATATGACTAATTCTCAATAACTATATGGCACAAAATTTCGTAAACAAACGGAGAGAGGCTAGTGAAAACAAAGTATGAAAAAACATGAAAAACTTATGTGAGCGGAACGAGTGATAAGCATTTTTTCCGAAAATTCTGCAAAACTGGTAAATGAAGATGTGAATTCAAATAACTAGTCTGCAACGCACAGATGCCGATATGGTATGAAACTTGCTACATACATGCACAAGAGGCCTGCGCTTAACTAGGGAGTTTCATTGAAAAATTATGTGACTGAAGGTTGTGGCAATCTTTTTTCTGAGATTTTCCCATTATCAAGAAAATGGAAAAATGGCTCGTTTGCAGCGCAGAGAAAACGAAATTGCGCGATTGGTGTTTATATGCGCAGTAGGACTAAGGAACAATGTATGAAAAATTATGAAAAACCTATGTGAATGAAGAGAGCGCCCAACTTTTTTCCAAATTAGGTGGGCAATTGCCCACCTAATGCCCACTGAGGTGGGCAAAACGTTCAGTTCACATAATTTTTTCACAATTTTTACATAAATTTCTTCTACACCTGAAGCTTACTCTATGGTAGAATCTTGGTAGTTCTAAAACTCCTCCTCTCCTCTTTACTATAGTCAAAATAAGATTAGCGGCACCCTTTTTTACAGAGGAAAGCGCGCCACAATCGATCGATATGCGCGGGAACGGCGTCACTCAGTCTTGTAACAAGTTTCTCATGTTCTTCCTTGTATTATCTTGTAAGACAGCTATTTTGAAGTCGTTTTTTTGGTTTTGATGTTTTGTTTTCTTTTTAAATGTCAGTTGATAGTTTATTTTTTGGTAAAGTATTTACAAGGGAAGCGTGTACTAGGCTGTTGCATAAGTTCTGTCCGATTTGAATTTTTGAGTTTAAAATGTCATAACTTCTTTCAGAGTCAACTTTTTTCCAAGGTCTTAGTTTCTATGTGTTGAGCAGTCCCTTGGCTAAAAAATGCATATTGAGATCTGCGCAAATCTTTGTTAAGGAAGAACCAAGAATGCAAAAACTTCGCCGCGTTTTTCTTCGAATCTGTCTTTTTTGACATGGTAACGCTCCCTTATGAAAATTGATAGGCATCTTTTCTAATAATGGATGGATAGAGAAATTTTCGTAGATTATTATGCAACATAAAAGAGCCCATAGGGTTTGCGCTGCCGAGAGATTTTCTTGACCGAACAAAAAATTAGCCACATTTTGACCTCGCTTCAGCACATGTGTGCATGCCTATTTATGGACTACGAACGTTTTACAACTGACGTGAGCGCCGAAAAGGAATTGGTGGATGGGCCCTGCTAGCTCTTGCTTTGCCCTAGCACCTCCAACTTTGAGCTTGTCGATTACTTCTATTCGCAGAAAGTTATTGCTTGTAAAACATCTATACCAAAGATTTATGTTCGAGGATAAATTTCATTAGCAAGACGTATTCTTCATGGGACCGAACTTCTGCATATACTAGCATTCCATACCCTTATTCCGAAGCCAATGAAAGAACCTAACTTGAAGGGCGCATTGTGGAGATATCCTCGCAAGGACATATTTCTAGGGATAGAACGTACCTCGGCCACTTAGAGATTTTAGGCCTGTGATCTCCGTACACTAAGAATTTTATTGAATTCTGGTATGCTTTAGAAAGCGCAAGGAAAGCACTTTTCAATGATACCAACCGTATCGAATTAGAGATGAAATTCTCTTAGAACAGCTGCTTCAAACATGAGGCAAAAAAATCGGACAGAACTTATGCAACAGCCTAGTATAGTCGAAGTTTCCTTTTCAGATGAGACCGATAATTCTATGGGTTGTTTCATACTGCAGTCGCTGCAGCTGCTGCAAAAGATATCGATCGATTGACTGCCGTTGCTGCAGCGACTGCAGTATGAAACAACCCTATGGAGAGTAATGCACGATGATTCCAAATCTGCCTTCATTATCTGCCAAGCGCCTCTGGACGAAGAGTTATGCGCATTTTTTCGGGTCGGAAAATTGAATGCAAAATTGGAGCAAAATCGCCCAAATTTGCTGAAATGGTCCGGTGTCGAGTATCAGAGCAGTTTAAGCAAGAGTACGTTTTGTCTAGTATGATAATTCTTGCTTAGTATTGCTTTATCTGAGCGCTAGAAAGATCGTAACAATTGTTTTTACCTAAATTCTGCACCCTTTTTTCGTTCCAAAAAATGGTCATTGCTCGGCGTCCACAGGCGCTTGGCAGATAATGAAGGCAGATTTGGCTGCGTTCATACTGATCCCGAAGTCCGGGAACAATTCCAGCACTTCGCTTGAAATGAGCGCTGTGCTGGAACCGTTCCCGGACTTCGGGAACGGTATGAGCGCAGCCTTTGGAGCCACCGCGCATTGCTCTTCAAAGTGGTATGAGTCCCATTTAGAAACGGCACTTCGATTAGACACGCTTTCCTTGTTAGCACCGCAGGCTTCGCCCAAAAGCGCTCGAAAGCGCCCACACTTTTATTTCTCTTCATATTTTTCATCCCTCTTAACATACTTTCCGCTTGCATGTTAACGTGGTGGCCTTTAGGCTAGCGTGGACGTGTGAAGTGAGGAAGGTGAAGAGAGAATAGAATAATTCCAGCGCTTTTGGGCGCTTTTGAGCAACGTTTGGCCGGTGCCTGCGTTGCACAAGCACAACTCATTTTTGGGCTCAAAGACGTATTCGTAAAAAATCTTGGGGTCAGAAGGGAATTCGTTTTGAAAAACCGCTTTTGCCCAGCGCGTGCCGGGCCTGAGCTTGCATTGGCGCATTTTATAGATACAACCAAGAATCCATCGGGGTTTTGAGAGTTCACCATTGATTCCCAAAAAGATGTCGTTCATATAGTCGCTCTCTTCTGTGCAAATTTTATTAGTGAAAAATATTAGCACATCACATTTTTTCCAAAATAAATTAGACCCCTTGTTTCATTTTCTTTTGCACTATCATGAAGAGTTAATTGCGGTAAATATTTAATATTTTATTGTAATTTAATACAAAATACAAGATGAGAAGTACTACACTGCTGCCTTCGAAATCGAAAAGATGATGTAAAAGCCGCCTATGATTCTACTAAGCCTGCCACTTGACCAGCTGATTCTTTGGATTTTTTGAGTCGTTCATTTTCAGGGGGGCAGTAACAATGTGGATCGTATGGTGAACACCTTGTCATGAATTCGATTGAATGATATTGGTCCTTGAAGATGCAGGAGAAAACCTGAACTAGTCGCTTGTTCTTGGTAGTGCTTCTTCTGGCGCAGGCAACATGAGTGGGTTTCTGAAAACAAGAAAACGTGATCATATTTACTGAAGCAGTATGCTGAAGAAAAGGAAAGCCGATTTTGTCCTGCTTTTTGTAAGTAAGATCCCCTTCAATTTGGGTTGCCTGTTTAAGGAGATATAAATCTACATAACACCAGAAAAGAAAATTGGACTTCAGGTCACGACATGTTTTCCTAATGATGGACTGTTATTTTAGACTCTTCGTACCACTTCGTCCTCAAGTCCATGTTTTCAAAAAAAATAATAATTGATTACAATTACTCGTCTTAAAATACTTGTCATCCGTAACTGCATGTTTACTAGGCCCTCTACCAAAATAGGCTTTACAGTTCAGAGCTTGTAAAAAAGTGAACAATTGATGAAAGCAACAAAGTTTATGCAGTTCGCCTGTAGCCTCCCCCCCCCCCCCTCGTTGATTCTAATCAACAATACTACAATATCAGTGGGTTATCGATCATAGTGAATGTCACAGAGTGAGAGCCAAATACATAGGATTAGACACTTGCTATGTCAAACCATGTTTTCAGCCAAAAAACTGACTTGAATGTTATTCTTCCACTTTTAGCTCTAGCACTCACTCTTGATAAATTGAGTCAAAAGTACGCTTTGCAAGTATTTCATCAGGGCACAATTACCCTAATTTCACGCGTACAAGGCGCACCTTTTTCGATTTTTCAATTCAGTCCCTCAGCCGCTTCACTGTATTTTGCAAAGCGATCCTTATGCCGCACGATTCTCTCAAGCAATATACAGCACCGCATAGGCTTCTTTGGTTGCAAAGTCCTTTGGCGTGTTTGAGCTGATCGATTTTGGAAAAAAATCCCCCGCGCCTTGTACGCGTGAAATTAGGGTACTTGAAAGAGGCAACAAACTTTAACTTTAGGCAAACAAACGAACAGTCCTTTCTAATTAGGGCTCGGCACACTTGGCTTACAAGCAAGCTGGATATCGTTTTTGGGACAAAAAGCAAAAGGAGGTTTTGTTTTTGTGGCCGAAAAGACGAAAAATTTGCAACGTTTTTTTCTTAGTCGACGTTTCGTTTTTTTTTTGAAGGTTTTTAGGGATTATGGCCTAGAGTCAAAGGGGACTTCGTAAAAATTCGTCAAAGTCAAGGGGAACTTCGTTTTTTTTGCATTTTCATCGTCACCTCGTGCCGAGCCCTGTACCTAATGTGATAGGTTCGTTTATAATTGAGGCACTTTTCTGTGACTCAAGTTTGAAACGAGATAACTCTTCTCAATAAAAAAAAACTTTCGGAGCATTATAGATAATATTTCAAGCCGTAAGTCTTCGGCTATACAACACATGCTTTGGTACAATTGTATTTACTATGAGAACGATTTTTTGAGGGAATAGTGGCAGAAATTTTTTGTGGATATCTTTTAACTGAGAGGGCATTGCTTACTCTCAAAAGAATCAGAATAGTCCCGACTTTGCTTATATCATAGACAATGGTCAGATGAGAAGTGGACGGAAGTTTGGACTTTACGCTTTCTTGCGGAGAGATAATGCAAAAAATCTATTCACTCAATTGCTGTTTTAGAGAAGTCAAGAAACTGCCCTGTTTGAGTTTCCCTAATTCTTCTTCTCTAAAAAACGAGGAAACCGTACCAGGTTTCAATCACTAGTTGTACTAAATTCACTCCAGCTTTGAGAAACTTATGTAATCGCTTTTTGCCCAAATTTCTTACACACGAAGAACAATCTTCCCGCGACCACCTTAATTCAAGGAGAAAATTATTGGATATGCCTTCTCGAAAATCAATCTTGGTAGAAATTTCGTAGCAAAGGCTTCGTAACGATTGAGCTTATTCAAAAAAAAACTGATTTGACGTCATTTCTAGATATAACAGAGTGAAAAAAGAGGAATTACAAATTTTAATATCTTATCATTGTAACAAGCAGCTTTGGCTTGAACAGAGCTTTGCAAACAAAAGCATATAAACTGGAAAAAGAAGGCTTTCAGCTATCGCGAAGCGAGAAAAGAAGACCTACATACGTCAAGAACTAGTGCTCAACAGAAAAGATTTGAAAAATGTGCATTAAATTATGAGTCAACCTGTAATACAGGGTGTCTCAAAAAAATATGTATACACTGTTTAATCGTTAATATCTCTTTTCCTAAGGAGTCTTTTGTCTACGTCCAAGCACCTTTATAGATCTGGCTTCAAATTATTGTTAGACAAAACAGTATGGAGCAAATCGCTCTTCATTGTTATAAAATTACGGAATTTCAAGAAGGGGTTGTGAGCCATAAGGGCCCTATTCTCCCTCAGAAAGCAAATCAAACGACCCGAAAACTTTCATACTAGGTCAACTCAAGCCGCTAAAACTAAATATGATGTTTTCACTTTACCGCAATGCTTCCTTCCTAGTTACTAGGTAAACCGCTAGTTGTTTTCACAATGCTTCCTAAAATCTTGAATACACCATTTGAAAAGCTTTGCAAACTCACAAAAGGTTGAATAATAAAATTGGCGAGCGTGGAAACCCTGGTACACCCGAATTTTTTGGAAACTAAATTTTTGAAACACAGTTTATCCGCAATGACGCGCTAAGCTGAAAGTTTTTACCATGATCTTACAGTAATAAAGAGCGACCGGTGATTTGCTTCATAATGCAAATCTAAGTTGAAGCCAGCCCTACAAAATGGTTTCTGAAGGAGGGCAAAAGCTCTTGAGAAAAGAGATATTAGCGTGCAAACAGTGTATACATACTTAGGGACACCTTGTATATGTATGGGCTTCCGAAATACTTTCGCTTTTTTTGAACGGCTGGAACAATCGCAAAACAAAGATTTGCGGAAGGCCTTGCCGGCATTAGATACATCTTTTCATTCTCTTTTAGAAAATCAAATTCTTTCACAGATCAACCAACAAGCTTTTAGGAAATCAACAAAAATATGACCCTGGTATTTGATAGGGTCAAATTCCGCTATTTTTCTAAATTTCTGTACTGATTCTCCGTCCGAGTAACATTTAAAGCAGAGTAGGATAGAGCAAACCATATAGAATACACAACATTTTTCCCCTCTACAGCTTGCTTTCCAAAATTTTTGAAATTTCAAATTTCATACTTAGTCAACACAAACCTCATAAAACCTCAACAAGCAAGAAAGTCGAATGTCATTCAATTAGCTTTTTTCTCCTCTTTCTAGTGGGTTTTCTATTCGCAATGTTTCGGAAAAATAGTCAAGTAACTCAAATCAAACATAATTCGAATTTTTGAACGCGCTTCAGGCTGTACACACGAAAAATTCTAATTTGATAATCTCCAAGTTTCCTCTTTCCTGAACCTCGGCATTGTTAGTATGTTGAGTTAGTATGTAAGTAAGCCTTCCGAGGTTAGTAGGTCTTTATTAGTGGCGGCCTAACGTTTCGAACAAGTCGTCTTCTTCAGAGGCCTTCTCCACCGTCGGCGCGCGGATGTTAGTCTATTGATATCTGTCAATCTATTGATACTAGTGGCATCGAAGGACGGCCGCCCTAACATCCGCGCGCCGACGGTGGAGAAGGCCTCTGAAGAAGACGACTTGTTCGAAACGTTAGGCCGCCACTAATAAAGACCTACTAACCTCGGAAGGCTTACTTACATACTAACTCAACATCTAATTTGATAGTTTGAATCCGTGCTTTTTTGAAATGTGATGAACCTTATTTTTGGAAATCGTAAACTTATATGTATGATTTGGTGGTGTTTGACAAGTTTTTGGCTATGATACAACTGGTAACGTTTTGTGAAAGAATTATAACGAGCTGGCGAGCGTGGGAAGCAGAAGAAAAAACGCTGCATCCTGTTAGTTTTTCGAAAAAATTCAGAAGACTACCAAACTTGACCATGGCAGAATGACGGTTGTCAGACTTTGGTAATTTTTGAATGCTTATTCATGCTTTGCTTTAGAAGCACGTTTTGAAAGAGAATGGAATTTTGCATCGAATGCTACCAACATCTACTAAAAATCTTGGATTTTCCGTTTGTGGCAGCCGTTCAAAAACAACGACAATACTTTTGGGATGATTTAATACACTATATTTGATTAAACCGAAGTTCCCACATAATTCGCAACTTTCTTCTTTTACGATAATCTTGCAAGACAGAGAAAATATTACGAACAAAGCGTATACTTTCTGAGGGCACCTTGACTGCTATTTATTAAGCTTTGAATGCAGAGATGAAATTGTGAAAAAAACTACTTCATTTTTGGAATTTTGAAGCAACCCGTTGAGAATTTCAAAACTGTGTCATAAAATCAAAACAGCCAGTAACCTAGGCTTTTCGGTCCACTTTTTTTAGCTGAGCGAATTTCGCGCTGATCGAGCTCTTTTAGAAAAGTCATGATTTTCGAGAAAAAATCCAAAAAATCAGTTCCTTGAAAAAATTGCTTATTTGACGCCCAAAAAGATGTGCACACTGTTTGATTGTTAATAACTCTCTTGCTTTCATGGTTTTTGCCAAGCTTAAGGCACCATTCTTTAGAGCGAGGCTTAACTTAAATCTTATATATAAAGCTGAATGTCTGTTTGTCTGCCTGTATGTATGTTTTTTTGTGTGTACGTATGTTCCAAATAAAAAATTCCATTTCTGAACCGATCCGGACCAAACTTGGCACACATACACTTCGGGCCCCGGCAGGTACCATAGGCTACTTTTCGTCATCGATCGATATCGATTTTATCGTTTTTTTTGCATAATTTGAGCTACAGGGCTGGGAGTTGGTACAGGGGGTAATCGAGCATGCTGATTACGAATAAAATAATGACAGAGCCGGGCGGAGCCGGGTAAGCCATCTAGTTTACAATATGGAGCGACTACTCAGCAACTTTTCTTTATCATAGGATTACGGTAGAATTTCGACAAGGATTTCAAGCCATTGAAAGCGGTATTTTGCCTCAGAAAGAAAGCCAAACAAGCCAGAAACTCTTGATCTGGGTTAATCGAAGTTGCTGATTCTGAATATAAAAGTTGCACATCAGTACACTGTTTCTTTCATGAGTT